CAGTGTGAAATGCCCCATGATTTCATCCCTGCTTCATCCTCCCAGATTTCAACCCTTCCATTTGCCCTGAGATTTTCCCAGAGCCACAAAGAACGAAGCAAATGCACTGCCTACCTTGATATTCAGGTGGTCTTCTGGATGCTCAGGGTCTTGGCTTAGTAAAATATTATCAAGTTTTATATCTCGGTGTACAATATCTGCGCAGAAAGGGAGAAGAGGGCTGTATGTGACCAGCTTGTACAAAGTGAGATGCTATCAAATTTGGCAAGATTCTTGCATACATCAAATAGTAGAGAACGCTCCAGCGCTCACAGCTCTGTGTATTTTTGCACAATGTCCGATTTCAATTCTTGAAATCACACCTTCACTGTCAACAGACATCCATTCTTTGCCTTACACAGTCAGACATGGGCACTGATCGCTTTCCAAAAGTGTGGGGGGAGGGGCAGGGAAGGGGCATCACCTTGAAGGCGAGCCCCAATGCCCCGGGACACGTTTCATTCTAGATGTTTTGTGGTAAAATCTGAGGCAATTTCTGACCACTTTAATTTTCAAACAGTTTTGTTGCAAGATATCCAAATACTGGTCAGATTTTTTTCAATCTACAATATGGATCAAATGTCGGCCTATTTCCCCCTACATTTTATATAGGGTGTAGAAAAAAGTGAAGAGGAAAATTTTTTAATGATATGATAACAAGCCAGGTGGGAGGATCCAAGGCGGTCTTATTAATAAAAAGATCTGACATGTCCGAGGACTAATGATGCCATTTCTGGTGGAGGCATTAGTGGGACTTAGGGGCCACCATCCACCATGTCTTATATCTTGCCTGTACCTCCTTTTACAGAATAACACCATAAAACAATATATCCCATTGGATGATTTAGGTCATATATAGGGCATCATATTTAGTGAAGATGAACCCACTGTTGTCAGTTTGACAATTTTAAAACAGTGATTTGGGGAGTCTAATGCTAGATATGTGTCAAGGCAAGTATTACAAACATGTACATCAAAGCATTGAAAATAATTACAACCCTTCACCGTTTATTAGGAGTACAGATAATGCTAGGTTGTGCAGTGGACGGTCCACCATAATCTAACAAGGCAGAGTCCAGCTGAACCAGACCAAGAAAACAGAAGTTTGGTGACACACAGAGCAAGAAACAGTGAATGTAACTCAAGGCCAACAAACTGTAACTGTGGCTAAAAGAGTGCCGTGTTGGCCCCACCATGTTGTGTTGCATAGAGCATGTTATAGCACTTTTTCAAGATGTTACCATGTTTGTCTTGTTCCCTGTAGACCCACTGGCAATAGTAATAAAACTTTGCGTGTTGATAAAAGGGAACAAATTATTTCTCCTTCCAGCCTCAGTTTGGTTAGCACATTGCTTCAAATGGCAGAAAAGCAAGATGGCTGCCCCACGATAGAGGTCTACGGTAGCCATCCTTGCTCCATGCAGTACTACATGGGCCTACTCGTGATATCTTGGATTAAAGTACAGATGACATTACGCACGTATGTCTGACCCCTTCTCACCATTTTTGTGTAAATATGAGACAGTACTGGTCAATCTGTGAATAGCTGTCCTTGTGTCTTCCTCTGTGAATGCTCCTTTCTCCTTAAATAAATCGCTCAGCTCTCCCCCGTTGCACAGCTCTAGTACAAGGTACATTTTCTGAGGGGGAAAACATAACAGAAAACAACCAAACCTGTCATGGGGGTCATGAGAAGTAGGTGTCCTTTTTAATCATAGTGTTTCAGATTGTTTCCTTCTTGACCAAGTGCAGAAAACTTTTATGGATATGACTCATACTGGATTGTACGGAGCACCTGAAGTGACGAACACAGAAAACATATACCGCAGAAAGAATCTGTTCTTCGTTTGATGTGTTAGAAATCATTTCATGCACTCGAAATATAATATTTCGTACACTCAAAGTCAATTCATGCCTTTTGGTAAGGTATTTTATGTGTGCAAAATTATTTTGAGCACTTGATATATGTCACTTCGTGTGCTTGAAATCGTCCCATGCAAAATAAACCATTAAGTGCACTTGAAATAAATCATTTTGTGCTCTCAAAATAAATTATTCTGTGCGCTCAAAAGAAATGATATCTTGTGCAAAGGTAAGATTCTTGTTTTTCCTTTTTCCTCTGCAGTTGGGCTTACCTTGCACATGCGTCCTTTATCAATTAACAATACCCACTTCTAACTTGCTGCAAATGGGTGATTATTATAATATTAATTCTAGCGCACAAAATGATTTTGCACCCATGACATGATTTATTTCGAGTGCATGAAATGATTTCAAGTGCATAAAATATTACATTTCCAGTACTGGAAATAACTTTGAGTGCCTGAAATAAATTATTTAAAGTTCACAAAATGAGTTTGTGAGAATGAGGTGATCTCAAGTGCATGAAATGAGGCGCTCAATGATTTGTGTTACGAGTTTGCTTTCATCATATATGTCCCTTGAGGGAATAGCTGGAAGATTGCTCGTGACCAAGACAAGAGGGGAGTAGCTGAGGTATAAAGAGGTTGGCAAAAGCTGTGTGAGATCATATTAGAGTATAAAAAGCAAAGTGCTGCAACTTTTGCAACCTGAAATAATACATGTACATAGATGTTACAATGGCATTTTCCTTAGCCTTTTTGAGAGATAAAAACCACGGTAGGAGGGCTCTTTTGATTTGGGTGAAGTGTGTGCGATAACCTTCATGTGAATGAGAAGGTGCCATTCCATTTAAAATGACCATAATGGAACTGATGTTTAACAGGCAGGTCATGGGTCCCCTCACTAAAATCTGTGCCTTTTCAGGTTTTTTTTTCCCCTGCATGATTTATCATAATTTTCTAAAGCATTTTTAGGGCTAATAGGCTGTATTTCCTATCTTGGGTAGACTACAAAGCACTCGAGAGCTGACCTTTCGGTACTGAGCAAACAGGTGCACTTTGTTCAGTTGACACAATTCTCTGAATGCACTTTACTACCGGTATCTTGTCGCAGGTAAACAGTAAAATGGTCCACTTGTGTTCGATGGATTCGTTCGATTGCCCTCTTACATGTATAAAAATGGACATAATTGCCAGAACAAGCCTTCCGGTCCAATTGGCCAACGTATTTTTCTGTGCCTTTCAACACATGTTGAGAACTCCCTTCAAATCCTCAAATTTGCCAGTTTTATTTTAGCTCTTTTCCTTTTTCACAATAAGGTAAATATTTCCTAATGCCACTGTTCTGTTAACATTAGAATCATTTTCCAATAATGACTTTTTAACCAAATTGTATTCTCTTGCCCCCTTCCCCAAATTTTCTCATTTTACAAACCCTGAGGCACAACTTTCCAGACTACACACTTCCAAACATTGCATAGCTACATTTGAAACCCAGATTGAGAAGCTATGTGTATGTTATCAGTCACAAAATTAATGAAATCTGCCGGTACTTTAGTCATCTGATGCCATTATCTTGCATTTTCACATGGATGACAAGATTTGCTCCAATGATCTTGAATTTTACGAGATTTTCTGTCCTACACTAACCTGTGAGGTTTCGTAGACTGCTTCTAGGTGAATAATGTGTTTGTGCCGGACTTTCTTCAGAATGGCCACTTCCCTTTCCAAGAGCTTGACAGCTGAACTGCCCGCCTAAACCAGGGAAAAGAACAGCTGTTACAGCCGCCCAGTGATGTATCCCGAGGAAATGATAGCCATTAGGCCACCAACAGATTTATTGGAAAGGAAAAAACAGTCATTAGGCAGTCAAAAGATGAATTGCAATGCCATCCAGTTTGAAGGGACAAACAGACTGTAACAGATAGCTCAATACTGGGGCACCATGTCCATTCACTCATTAGACTATGACTAAAGCCGTGTTTCCATTGGACTTTTTTAATTCCATAACTTTACTGTAGAATGACAAGATTAAATCCAAGGGGAACACACGGTAAACTAACATCCCTGTCAACTTACCGCAATCGCAATGTAAAACTAGCAGGCCGAAAAGTTAGCAGGGGTGCAAAAAAAGTCCAATGGGAACAGTTCCTGTACAATGTAGATTGACCACGACCACACTAAACCTACGAACCAGACTACTGCTACACAGAGATCCAGAGCGGACACGCAAAAATGGTTGTATCGTTCCCAGTCTCCAGCTCCGTGCGTTCTGTACAGGAGCATATCACGCACACACACAGTGAAGCGTGCCCAGATAAAGCTATACACATGTATACATTGCATACAGGGCTTTTCCTGTACGGGTTCATCTTATCTGTGGCAGATTTGGCCGAATTCGTCTGATTTTGTCTTTGTTTTTTGTCCGATTTTGCCAATTTCGTCATGATTTGTACAGTGCGGGCAATGTAATCAGCTGGTCTTATTAGGTCTCACACAGCGAATAAACATTCCGTTACGGAAAAAAAAAAGTCCACGAGGGAATGCATGGTAGATTGACACGAAGGAATGTTGCGGTAACTTTCTGTGTACCCGCGGAAGAAAAAAAACCAACAGAAACACGCCTTTAAACTGTAACATTTTATCCAAAGAGTTTCTTGGTGGGATGCCTTGTGGGATACTTACATGTACATGTACGCCCATATATGTAATTTGTGAACTCCAAGAAACACTGGGCCCCTACATGTACAAATCAGTCTCTCATTGGCTATTGTTACGAGCAGTCAAAGTTTGCACAGATATGTCCCCTTACATGTATCATCTACCAGTACCTTGGTGTCAGATATAACCTCCAAATGGACAATTGCCCCATAACTTTTAAAGCAGGCTGTGTTTTACATAGTATTTCTAACCGTTTTGATACTTGAGTGAGATAAACATGTATTAACACTCAGTGGTTTACATGTGTTCTTTTGTTTCTGTATTGCTGATGCAGCCAGCTTTATTGGCCACTTGTGTTCAAAAATACGACTGTGACATAGAAAGGGCAGACCCAATATGAAGCCTAAAAGGACTAACATGTACACATTGTACAACTGTAAATGCATGTGTGCATAGCAACCAAACCACACTGGACCACTAGCAACCAGAGTCCTGTGCCCATGTACATGTAGATACTGCACATGCCCACTTGTGCCTTGCATGCATTTTTCTGATGCACAAATGAGTTGGTTGGAAACGTTCTTTTCATCAACGAAAGTTTGAAAATATACCCGTGACTTTTCAAGAAATTATGAACTGAAAAGAGGTGCATTTGCATGCAAAAACCTAAAAGGTTCTTTCATAAATGCAGGACCTGTAGGTGAAGTGTCATAAAACAAATGTTGATGGCTTTAATTCATACCACAAGAAAATAGCCCTCTCTTGATGATTGATTGAGTACTGTACTTAATGCTCAATTGATCACCAATAAGAGGCCAGGTTATTTATTTCTTATTTATTCCTTTTTCATCACATGAAGTGGTTGAAATACGTTTACGTGAGGTAAAATGAGACAGAACTAAGCAGAGGTCGCACTGAGGGTTTGCTGCATTAACCCCAACCCCCGAGGGTGCATGTAAAATCCTATTGACATTGGAGGATTTGGGACCGTTAGGGAAAATTCCTGGTTGCAAAACCATCTGTGGCACTTCAGGTGGGCATTTCATTGACAAGTTACCTGTGGGGCCCTACGACTTTTAAATTTTGCACGTGACAAGTAAAAAATACTGAGAAAAATCAGTTGCATGCTTCAAGTCTTGTGTTTGTGACTGTGAAAGATGCCGATTCGATTTGTCTGACTGTAAACAAAAAATAACAAATTCCAACTATTTCTTTAAAATACAGTCAGTGGAATATCAAGGGAAATCTGAAAATCAGAAAAAAAATCACCTCCATTTCTTTTGATCCTGTCTCTCTTCTTCGGCTCGTATGTCCAGCTCTGTCTCATTTTGCCAGCATGCCTCCCACGTAAACATAAAATTCATCTACACGTAATATTTACATGTATTTGGTCCGCCTTAAAATGATTTCAGAAACACGTTCGTCATCTGCTACTTTTCTAGACTCAAACATACTGTCAGCATACATGTACAAGAAGGCTCAGATTGGGATAAATTTAGCAAATCAGGGTTCAGTGACATTACAAAAACCAATGCAACATGGAGTTTCAGAAATACCAATACCTTCTCCTTGTTGACAATTTTGATGGCCCATCTCTCCTTGGACTCATTGTGCGTGGCTTCCAGCACCACCCCAAAGCTCCCGGCCCCAAGTTTCTCGCCAAACGTGTAGACCTTCTCGATGACGGACTCATCATCGATGCGGGTGTGTCGCACAGTACGGGACGGCTTCTCCTGGCTGTTGCGTGACATGACGACAGTGACTGTTACCTGCGTGAATAGTCAGCAGTGACTCTCAGTATGTCCCTCCGACCATCCCAAATCTTGGGAAGCTGCAAAGTTTGAATACAAAAGCCATGGACCTTCCAGTGCAACACAGGCCGTTAGGTAACACAGGTATAGCAAAAGTGACTTTAGTATGGAGAATGCCAATTGTTATGTTCACGTGAATTTAAAGAACTCAGTGCAGATTTTATTCAAATTTAACTCGCAAAAGGCTTATTGCTAGTGATAACCTACATGTACATGATGTAGCATGCACCTACATGTACAAGTTCACATTGTCCAAGCTCTAGTTACATGTACATGTACAAAGCAATGTTGTTTGGGAACAAAAGCCCTTTACTGCAGCATACCTGACATTACACAAACATCTCACGGCATATCCGTTTCGTCAATTTCTTGGGTCATGACACCAAAGCTGCTACCTAATGGGAACAGGATGCTTAAAGTAACGAGTAAATACCTTACAAATGGGTGAAATTTCTCCACTAGCAGACAGTGAGGCGGTACCCAGTAAAGCTATGCTGATTTTTTTTTTCTCCATTTGATTCATGGCCTTTACAATTTGCCCCGGCTTAAAAAAATGTGCAAATCCTATAGGCCTTCACTGTATTTAACGCTGCCCTACTTTAGAGGCTCTCAAGCTTCTTACGAGGAATTAAAAAGTGGATCAAGTGGTCCGTTGCCGGCACTGCATCAATGGCTACTTGATGCCAATGCAATTCAGGTCAAATGGAGTGGATGGCTCAGCTTCAGCCTGTGGTGTGTGCATGTGTGTCTTCGCTATTATGTTTGATGGAAAGTGCAAACGAAGGCTACAAGGTTGGTCAGAACAAAAGTGTCCAGGATGGTTCAAGTGTTTTGACATCCAGAAAGGAGGGGAATTGAGGGCAGACAGACAGCCTGCAATAAGGTTGTCATGCCAACAGGCTACCGTTATGAGGTGTTTACATTTTTAGGTCAAAGTATGTCCAGCATTCGTATTAAAAGAAAAAAAGAATTTCGAAGTGCTTAAATGAATTGAGACGGAGGAAAGGGACTGTTTTTCCATGAAACTTGCAAAGCTTCTGGATGATTTTTTCCCAAGGACATTTACAACAAAACAAAGAATCATACCTTATCACTCTGACGATGTGTCATAATATACTCCAGTCCTTGCTGCATGAACACTCAAGTCCATGCGCAGCCCATCCCCAAATAATGTCTGATTATGTATGCATAATCTTCAGAATTATTAGCTGAAAATGAGTCAAATACCCACTTGCTAAGCAAACAGTCTCTAGAGATACACAGGTACCGTACATGTGCATGTGTACATGTACAGTGGATTTTCAACCCCAGGGGCTGGTAAAATACCTGATACACCTGTGTGTGGCAACATGTAAACACCATGATGTTACATCCTGGAAGATCGTGAAACCTCCCCCTTCCCAACACATGGTATTAAAAAAAAATACCATTTCATAAGCCATTAAAACAGGTCAGTGGCTGTAGAGATGGTTTTCTTGGAAATAAAGGAAGAATTCCCACTCAAGAGTACATTGTATGTTATGCTCTTGGTTCAACCTGACATGGTTTGCAATTCAACAACACCTTCAAGAAGTTGCATTTTCCTGCAACCTGTTCTTTGATGACAGACAGCATGCAAACACTACAGTGAAACTGCCAAACAAGATTTGATCCCCTTTTATAACTTTCAAGTAGAGGAGTAAAAGTGGATTAATGGTTTTTACCACTTTAAATGCATCTCTGAGGGGAACGCAAACATGATTTTTCTCACCACAACGTCTCTGACTATCTTATGTTGTGAACTTTTTCAGAAAATTACTTTGGGAACAAGTATAAGGTTTTTTTATCACTTTTATGACTTAGTGGCATGATTTTCTGACATCCGGAATAGTTCTCATAAGGTCATAGAAAACATTCCTGGTATCGTAAAAGTAAATCAGATGTACATGTATACTCTTCATGCATAAATATATAAGCACTAAAAAGACATTTTTAAAGGCGTAAAAGAAATTTATGGCAATAAACACAGGTACATGAGTAACAGCCCTCACCTAGTAGACAAAACAAGTTTGCACCCTTAGACTTGCATGGAATACAATAATGGGTTTGATTTGAGCTGGTGCCATGGGGACGCCCGAGACAGACAGTGAAACACAGGAGACTACATGTAGGTCTCTCATTTGCGCTCCACTGCCTTACATGTAAGGCAGTATACCCTGGTAAACATATTTAGATCGGGGAAACTATACATACATACCTAACAAAAATAATCCAACGCAACAGACTATGCATGTACAGTGTTAGGATACATTCAGTATCTGAAGTACCATACTATTTCCCCCCCCCACTAGTACCTGTACTTGTGAAAGTGCATTTGATGGTTCAAGGCTAAACCTTTTAAAGTTTAGGACGCCTATTCTTTTAAAAGTTTCTGTCAGGTCTGAATGCCTTGAATGAGTAAATTAACTCCAGCAAGAATAGGTCAACACACCAGAGTGAATTTCCATCTGAATTTTAAAGGTATACTCTTCACTCTATGGAATTACGTGTGTGGAATTTCCCAACAGTCTACGTGTACATGAACACTGTATTTGTGCAATTTTGTTCTTAGTATTGGTACAAAAAATGACCAATTTGCACACAAGTGAACCAAGGCCAATTTTCGTTTTGCACTAGGTAAAAAAGCCCCACTTTACTAGCATTTTTCTCAAGAAAGTACATGTACATGTACTTGCTTATAACTATTCAAAACTATTCACCTGTTTGAATTGAATTAAACTACATGTAGTTTTAACTAATTTGAATCATTTCAAATGTGATAACTACAGTTAGATGCTGCTCAAATAAGGATGGGGGCAACGTAACGTGCATGTCTCATTTTCAGATGTGTTACCTTACTGTAACCGTTCACTAGTCCTTCTTGTGAAAGTTACAATATTGTCGCAATTGAAGTCAATAGTTTACTGTGATGACTGTCAAACCAGATGAAACTTGAAACCTCAGTAGCTTAAACTTCTTATTATACCTCCGAGTCTTTTAAACATTTTAAGAGGTGTTTGCCCACAAAACCAAGACCTACTGCACCAGAATCCAACTCAAAGAGAACGTACACAGGTAAGCGTCATAGTATGAAACGCAAATCAATACTTGGCTTTTTGAGGCACAAAGAGCAAGGTTTATACAGATCAATATCAAACAAAAACGGATGCCCGGGGAGGCTGGCGGATTCATCAATTGATACATTCATCCCCCTCTAAGTGGTGTGAATATTCTCTGCTTTTTTGTCCCTTCTCTATCTTTAGGGCGAGCGGCGCTCGCTGCGAGTATGACCGTCCTTGCTTGTGCTGTTTGCAAGAGCTTAGAAGTTACACAATGAAAAGTTGGCATGCGTGCTGAAGTATGCTTGTGTAGCATTAATCATGTACAATGTTTGTACGATGACGTGTACATGTACGCATACATGTGCATCCATTCTGGGGATGCCAAACATTTGCTCAACTGTGACCTGTGACAGATATATTTAACACCATCCTGTGACTCTGCAAAGTTGTCACCGCAATGACAAGGTCTACAAAATTACATGCGCCACCTTTAACAGATGGTGGTTGTACCCTAATAAGGAAACTACCAGTACGCAAAATGAAACCTTTAAACAACTCAAATTTTGTTCAAACAGAGCTAACAGACTGGAACAGGATTGGGTTTGAACCTTTCAGGCTTCATCCATTTTTTTCCCGTCATTTTCAAGACCGTACAAAACATTTGCTAGGAAAGGATGGGGTTTTACAGCATGTGTACACTTTTCGTAAATTGTTACAAATGACAGCTGGCTTATTGACGTTGTTTGCATACGTGTATGCTTTCTGGAGAGGAAGAGGATCAGGGAAGATTACATTTGGTACCACTGTGAAAATGGAAAGAAAACAAAAGAGAGATGATCTCCTTTACCTGTATAGACATGTGTGCATAAATGGTATGGCAGTTGGCTGGTAACCTGCCTTTTCTGAATAAAGAATTTCCTGTACTTGGCAAGTTTCTTTACTTGCCAGAGACGTGACACTGGCCATCCAGGTAAAGCAAAACATATCCAGGACCAGGGGTGAGAAATCTTGAAACAGCCTGAAAATTGGTTCTACATGTACATTTACTGGTTGAAAATACCGTGTCATGCGAATTTATCAAGCATGACTGTCAGACTGTGGGATCACTTGATGCTTGAGCCAACCCAAGTCCACGTTTTAAGTAGGACTGGCTTCAGCATAGACAGAAATGGCCTTTGGATAGTTGGCATTTATCTGGAGTAGGGCTGGCAGGCTCATCAGAAGCATCTTCTCAGGCATGTCGCCACGCTGACTGGCACGACACACCAACGAGACGGATCCAAGGGAGTGTGGCCTGTACTCTTTTACACTCCATCCACTTGTATCTCATATTCTCATTCTCATGTCATATTCTAATATTTAATTTTGCAAAGGAAAAGCTTATGCAGGAGCCCATGACATTATTTTCTCCAACGGAAGGGATTTTAGAAAGAAGTATGTTAGTACTTGTACTTTGTGGATTTGGTCGACATAGGAGATGTACTCGAGTGAGTGACCTACATTCCCTCTTAAGGGTCTGAGGAAAAGGGGTTAAAAAATTTGACTGATTTTATAAAAGAAAGTATGCGACAACTCCGCCTTGATTAAAAAAAAAGGTCTTTCCCTTTCCCATGGTTCAAGGGATTGGGTATAAACCCAATTTTCCAATAATCTGACATAATTATTTTGACAATGGCAGAACAAAAGTGGCAGCTGTATGGAACATTTCAAAATCAGTGTCTCCTGTAGAGGTCTGACTGCCTGCAAAGCTGTCCTACATGTATCTTGGGGGAAGTGCCTGAGTCAGAAAACAAGCCACATGTTTGCACATTCGGATTGTTGTCTGGTTGTCACGGTAACGGCTATTGACTTCTTGCTGGCCTGGGAGTTTGAACCCGGATGTGAACTACACAACTGGGGATCATGAACCACGTGCTTAACCATTGTGCTGTGTGGAACATGGGCTGCTTAACAAATGAAGACTGTGTGAATAAGAGAAAGTAAGTACACACACATGCTCACTGGCAACATACGTGTACATGTACAGTTGTAATACATGTACATGTACATGTACACTGTAATACGGTGGTATGTACATGTACATACGATACCTCACAATCAAACAAAATCTATCATCCATTTTACGGCCTGTTTATTGTCTTTAAATTTAAATCAGTTTATGTATTTTATTCATTTTTAGTTTTATTTATTTATTTTTCAGTTCTCGCAAATTGTTGTCAGTCATCTAAATGCCGCAATTCCACTTCAACGATAAAATATTTAGAATACGTACCGGTGTGATACAGCAGGAGGCTCACTTATCCCTGTCATTCTTC